CTTCTGTCAGCATTTTGCCCATATTTACAGTCGATTAAGTTGATTTTAGCATTCGGCATAAAAATCAAATGCCAATAAACAACTTCATATAATTTAAATTTTATGCACTCAAATTATAGTCTACAAAGCAATGCATATTTAAATTCCGGAATTTTTAAGAGCAAATAAATATTTTCTTCATGATATCGATTACTATCAGTAGTTTTAAAGTTATTTCGGAAAAAAGTTTTATTAGCAATGAATGTGCCAGTTATACACTAAATTCAAATTGGTATATGACACACAGAAAATAAATTTGTAAGGAGCAAATAAATCGACAGCAGTACAATTTTAAAATATTGCAAGATATTATATCTATGAATTCATTTACCAACTTTAAACTTTAAACAACTTTGATAATAAGCAGCTAATACACACATTTAACAAACGAAATTGGACAATTCTCAATTTAAAACAAATACCAAATACCCTTAAAATTTTATTTGAAAGCAGTTAACTTGCTGTATGCGTTAAGGTGTATGAAATCAACCTGATTAATCTGGCTTATAGACTTGTATCATATTTAACATTAATAATTAATACTGACTGTTGCCCCGTGCTTTTCTGTTCAGCAAAAATTAATACGTGCTAAAGCGCCAAAGGCGGCATATGCAAATTTCTATGTTTGTTTGGTTTCGTTCGTAATTTTCTATGAAAAATTTTGCCGCTTTTAGTATCAGTGTTGGTATGTTGTTGTTTTCTCACATAAATTTGCCGCAGGCGCAAAATTTCACTCAAATGAAACCGGAAGCGAGGTCGTCAAGTGGAATGGACTCAAATTGTTGCTTGGACGTTCGGTCGGACCATCGTTGGGTCCGACGGTCGCCTGAATGTTTAGTTTATCAGTAGAAGCAGCAACAATAGCAAAAGAAATTTTAATATTTATATACAATATGCGCAGTACAATTTGCACTAAGTTTTTCTCACTTTCGCATGTTTATATCGTCCGTGTGAATATGTATATAAACATGTGTGTGTCAGCGTTTGTGACCTGTGTGTGTCTGCTGTCTTTTTTCCACGCTCCTCATGTCAAACACTTAGTCAAAACAGCATTTGTTACGCTGCCAGTGCCAGCCACCAACGCACTGAGCAGCAATAGCAACAACAACTACACCAGAGTAACAATAGCAACAACAACAGAAAGATCCAAGCAAAATAATAACGAGCGTTATCCAAGCATCATCATTATCAACTTTTAACCATCGGTTAATGTTGTGTGCCACCGAAATGATTTAATTTTGACAGACCTTTTTTCAAGTTTCTTTCTCGACTTTTATGTGTGGGAGTTTTTTGGCTTTTAATTTAAATTTTTTTCTTTTATTTTTTTTTTGGTTTTTTATATGTCTATTTTGGTCATAATTTTTGTCGTCTTGTTGGCACGCATTGTTGCTGCTCCATTGCTGTTGTTGGTGTTGCTCTTGTCGCTGTTGTTGCTACTATTTTATTTGATATGCATTACCAGCTTTCGTCATTTTTTATTTCTTCTACAACTTCTCCTTTTTGGCATTAAGTGCTTGTAAATTGGGTCAGTGGGAAGTTACACTTCAGTCGTCGACGATGGCTGTTGTTGTTGGTGGCTGCGGTGGTGGTGGTAGAGTAGATGTTGGTGTTGTTTCTGCTTGTACTCTAAAGCGTCATGTGTCATAAATTATTTGTTGCTCTTGCTCTTGCCAGTCTGAGAACCTTTGCCACAGCTGCTTCGCCTGTTTGATTTTCATTGTTTTATTTATTTATTTACTCCAAACCACATACACATACTTGATGGACTATATCACATTTTCTTTCGCGCTACCATGTTGCTGCTTTTGCTGGTACTGATAGCTTAGATGTTTTAGCTGCGGTATGATAAATATCATATTATGTCGCCATTTATGTGGCGCTATCAAGCATACAATATATTTTTTGTAGCTTTTAGATTTAGAGATTTGACTGTCAAGTTCGCTGCCTAAGTCTTTTGTTATTTCATGTGGGGGAAATCAGCTTGGATTTTAAGAAGTTAAATGTTATATTATAAATTGAAGACATGGGGAGCTCTTCTGAGCCAGCTGTTAAAGCACCTTTATAGGCCAGCCTGTTTGTAGGCTTCACCTTGTACTTTTTTAAATCCGGCAAGGCTTAACATCCACATTCACCGTTCGTCCGTTACAGCCAGTCAGGAAGCAATGTGCAATGTGAAGTGACTTTGGCTGTCTGCTGTCTAGACATTCTTCGATTTTCCTGCCAGCTGCAGCAACATCAACACCAACAACAACAGCAAAAACAACCTGCAACAGCAACAACAATATGAGCAGCATTTAGAGCGATGAGTAGAACAAGTGCAACGGAGGCAGCTCTAGACTGAGGAATATGTACATACTTACGAGTACATCCATGAAAGCAATGCATTGCAGTGCTTTGCTTGATTTTTATTGACACAAGTCGTTAGCGGACTGCTGACTGCGCAGCCTGGCACACATTTTGCATATTTTACGAGTTCGTGTCGTTGTCGTTGTTGTTGTGGTTGCTTGGTAGTGTATTTGGATGGGCCTAAACTAAAGCCATTGCCGAAGACCAACCGAAGCCTAAGCCGTGTCTGGCCTTGTGCAATGGGGGTTTTAGAAAATCTTTGCATAATTACTGTGGAACATTTTGATTTGAATTCAATGTACTATTGGCAGCTACTGAAGCTTGAAGATTGGTTTATGTGCGCGTTAAGTCACCCGTGGTCGTCAATATCTGACCCAGGGGACAGCTGACCCCCTTGTGCATAAAAGACCCATGTACACATAAATCAAGAAAAGGCATTAATGTGCAACATATGTAGATGTACGTGTGTACATATATACATATGTATATAGATAAATCATGAAGACCCCCTGTTTTCACATAAGTACACAGAGATTTCGCTTGTTAACATTAATAATAACTTGTAATTTGCAGTTGTTTCAAAGCCCCCGTTGTTGAAAATCACTCTGAGGGCGCCGAAGCAGAATTACCTAGCAGAGGAGAAAAGAAAAAACTAATTACAACATTTTTCACATATGTAAACATTCATTCATAATATTAAACCGCACAAGCCAGCATAATGTAAACGACGAGAAACTAAGAAACAAAAATTCGAAAAAACTCACTTTGAAGATCTTCCGCGTAGCTGCTATAGCCATTGGTTTCTCAGTGTGTTGTTAATTTTTGTTCATTAAGTCCGAAAATGGCCAAGTTTAATGTTTGAGCGAGGCACAAAATTAATTAAACATTTATCAAAATCAAAGCCGAATCGCCAGGCAAAGGCAACCGCTTGGCGCAGCTCCTAACACCAAAAGATGCTGGCGACCTGTTGACATTTCAACATTTAAATATACTAGGTATATTATGATTGTCATTGTTTTGAGCTTTGCTTGGAGTAACTGCGACACATTTTTTTCGACATTGTCTTTGTTTTTATTGCCCTATTAACTTGGCTTGTCAAAATGCACTGCGCACATTGAAATTGAAACTGAAATTGAGACGAATCCCGCATTAAGGTTCAAACACACAAAACCGAACCAAAAACTATTCACATACCACATATCTCGGTCATCCATGGCTCCAACTCGGCTGACAATGGAAGTGGACATCGACATCAGTTTGGCTGTCGCTTTTAAATGAAAAATGCTCAAAACAAAAAAGAAAAAAAAGAAACACTCTGTGTCGTTCTTCTTAATGTATAGTGGTTTTTTGGGACCCTCGTTTTTGCCTGCCCGAATGCCTGACGGCCTGCCTTACGGCCTGCGAGATGAAGTTGGACTTGGACATTGGCGGGCATATCGCTGACTTGGCCCAGCACTTGAACTGTACTTGAGTGTTGTAAATATTTTTTAAAGCTGCCTTATTGTGTCAGGCGCTAAAGTTAAAACGAATATCGAATGCCCTGATGCGCTGTACGTTAAGTTAGGTGAATGATAAGAAAAGCTTATTAATAGATGACGGCAGCTTTGAAGATTTCACGTGATCTTCAAAAGGTGGCTAAGTGTCCGGGAGGTCCAAAGGGTCGCTTAACAATATTTGTGTTTTTATAAAACTAATAAGCAAATTGACTCACAAGGGAATAAATAGTACATAGGAAAAAATTGAACGCATCTTAAATACATTGCACTTATTTTCTTTTTCTTTATTTTTAAATACTTTTAGATTTCTTTTCTTTATTTCAAATATTGCGTTACATGTTATGCTAAGAAATAGAAATTTCTCTCAGTTGAAGAGCATATCCCGCAAAAATGTTGCCTTTTCGTTTTTACTTTTTTTCAAGAGCTCTTCGTATTGCAGTTTGTGCCTGCTCTTGTGCTGTAACTCTTATTTTTGGGGGCTTTTTTTTTGTATTTTGGCAATTTGGGTTACATTAGCTGCTGTCTGAAAAATTATCTGGCACTTATATTCACGCTTAATTGGCATTTTTTATGAAACCCGAGCGTGCCGAAAACAAAAACAAAAACAAAAAAATAACATTGAGAGACATTCGTGCTTCTGGGTTCCTTGTTTGTCTGTTTCTCTGCAACTCTGCGGCTCTGCAGTCCCCGGCAATGACACTCGCACTCAAAATCAGAAGAAAAATCAATTTAATGAGCAAAACATGCAATAAATTACAGTGGCGCAAGGCGAAAACAATTCTGCAGTAAATTTCTTTTATTTCCTTTTTACTTTGTTTTTCATTTTTCATATCAATTTGTAATAAAAACTAGGTCAGGTCTGAGTAGGATTTTAGTTCGAAATGGTAGGAAATGCGTTCCGTCAAATGAATTGAATTTTATTACTTAAAATATTTATTCATCGACAGTGACGTCAAGAAAGATTTCATTTTGAAGTTTGCCAAATTGTGAAACCGGTTTTTTATTTGTGTTTTGACCTTTTGTATATTTTTTCTACCCTTTGGTTAGCTGCTCTTAATGTTTTTAATTATTAATTTATTTTATTTATTTTGTTTGTTCTGTTTCTGTTTTTTGTTTCAGTTAGAATCCTAACCAATATGTCAGAGTCAGCACCTTAAGCTGGAACAGCGAAAACATAGGAATAATATGTAAGTCAATCTTTATGCTCAAAATAAGCATTTAAGTATTAGCCAAGTCCAATACATTTCACATCACTTAAAGCCACAGCAACTACAAGCCAGAATTGGATTCCGGCCACGGTTAACTCTCTCAAAATGATGGATGAGACTGGTCTCCAAACTGGTTGACCTGCGTGGGGGTGTCTTTCATTTAGCCGTTAGCCGCATACAAAAATTTGAATAGATTTTAAATGCAAATCGAATTTAAACGCGCTACAAACTCGTATATTTTAATTAGTCTAATGCGTGTGGCTGACTTTTTTTTATTGTTTTTCTTTTGTTTTTGTTTTAATTTTTTATTGATTTCTATTTTGATGATGCGGTGCACCGCTGTGCCAAAAACAAGTTTCTATGCGCATCTCTCACAGACTTCGACTTATATTAATGGATGGGCTCAGATGCTGAATTATCTGAAATTATAAACGTAGTAAGCTTACGCGCTCTTGAGTGCACCATTGACAAATTGTTAGACCAAAGACCTTTGGAATGATTGGGCTTAAGCCCCATGCTTGATAAATGGCTTTTGAATGTGACTTGGACTATGCTATGCGTACATCTATAAAGAGTCAACACTTTAATGTGTGTGCGTTTCTTCCGTCATGGAATACTCAATGAATGACTTAAACAAAAAAACCAAAATAAAACAGCAAAAAATCAATGAATGAAACAGCACACATGAATCCGGGCACTAAGCTTATCTTATTGGTTGTTATATAAGATTCGCTTGAATGCGAGCCGCACTGAAGCTTAGCTCAACGTTTGATATACCATGAAAACAAGAAGCTTAAAACACCTGTTACGCTGACCACATGGCCCATTGGGGTTCGTCTGAGTGCGTTGCCAACGCTCAATAAATTTCCGAGAATGGTACATAAAAATTTGTCACATAAATTACAATTTGCATGCCTGTTGCCTGTCCAACAACAAGCACACTTGTCGCACACACGCACACACACACACTTATATATAGCATATGTGCTAAGCATTTCGCAATGGATTTGCTAGAACCAGCGACCGACACGACCCTAATTGCCTTTGAGTGTTGTCCCAGACTAACTGCTGTCAAGCATTAATTGTGCGTACAACTCTGCAACTGCAACAGCTCAATTTGCATCGCAACAGCGAAGATGGTGCACTCCAGCTGAACATTGCCACAGAGCACCGTTAGAGAGCGTCGCGCATTCTGGGCAATTAGCCTGGCAGCCGATTCAATTGGCAGCCTTACAAATTTACGAAATGGAGCGCGCGCATAAATGTCAGCTCCGATTTGGTGTGGGCAATTAAAAGAGCATGGAAGCGACGGCGAGGACATTGCCTGACAGATTGACAGAGCAGCAGCTTTATTTACAGCTTAATCTGCTTTATAGCCTCGACTGCAAGATGAATGACGCTGCAATTGCCTGCAGCGATAGTTGAGCTGAGATAAAGCCGTGGTAGAAAGTATTGTGAGCGACTTTCTTTTTGCGGCATGTCAACAGTTTCCAAAAAAAAAATAAGCTAAAATCAGAAACAGTGAGATGAATAAAATTCCTTAATAGGCTTTAAAATCAATTTAAAAATCTCTTCACGCAGGGTGTGAATTTTTTGTAAGCCTTTTCGAGAAGGAATTAAGAGTCCTTAAGAGGAATACATTTCATTTTGATTTCTCAAAATTAACTTGAATACATAACAAGTCAATAGTTGTTTGGGTAAAGAATTTCAATTTTCATTTTGTAGCTCTGTTATATTATCGACTGGACAACCTGTCTCGTTCTGCCTATTGTTCGCCTCTCTACATGATTTTCGAAGGCAAATATAGATTTCACTCATTGTTTTGAGGACCAGACAATATGCATAACAAGACTAAGACATTAGGTCTTTTATTTGCTTAACATTTCTTTAAAATTTATGTAAATTAACATATCGATTTCCATTTGGCACGAGCTCCAAGTTTCATAATTAAAGTGTACGCGGAGCGGGAAAAGTTGCGGTCCGTTCAAGCTACCGCAAAGATTATGCAAGACGAAACATGGCTAAAGATGCAAAAGAAAAAACAATAAACAAAAACTCATATTTCTGGCTAACGCGGGCATTGTTGCTATCGATATGCTGGTGGTGTTGTTGTTGTTGGTTGTTGCTTTTAATATTAGTCAAGCTGCTCAGCCATTGGTCTGCTGAATGTTGGCTCATTAGCATGTTTAGTTCACGCCCCTGCGCAGCACACGCCCCTATAGGTTTGAGCTTGGTTTTTGGCTAACTTTGGCTGATAATAGCCAACAGAGTTGGTCTTGTGAAAAGCAACAGCACTCGATTGAGTTATCTAGCTGAGATTGTAACTAAACATTGAGCTTGTACCTAGAGTCGGGTTGCTTTGGCAATAAATCAAAATTATTATCCACACATTTGACTTTTTAAGGCTACGTATGCTTTGCATCCATTTATGGCATAAGCACACACATGCTTGAGCCGGCCCGGGTTCCTGGTTGAGTCCGTTAGCGTTAGCGTTGGCTCTGGGCAGCCAAAGAAACGGCCTTTGAAAGAATGCCATAGTCACTATCTTAGCCACTGCCAAAGAAACGGTGGCGCTGTATTATCTTGCGAACGCAATCTACAGGCTCTTAGCCGGACTCCCGACATCAACTCCACATTTGAATATGACGCACGAGTGCGCCGCATGGCCAACTAGGGTGTGTGCCCGTGTCCAAGACTACGACTGCGACTGCAACTGCAAGACTGCCGGCGGCCGCATTCGGTTTTGACTTGTAGGGGCAAGCTTGATTTTCGATGTGCGATAAGAAATTTATAGTTTCGGTTTAAAAGACATTAGAGTGTAATATATTTAGAGTTTGGCCGAGCTCAACCTATCGTTGCTAAAAGAAGCTCGTTTGCCGCATTGCCTTTGTTACCAAGGCAGCCTGTGGGTGTGTAAGTCTGCCACTCAAGTAATAAATATATGCAAATATTTGCATGCGCAGTACATGCAAAATAAAAGACTTAGGCAACGAACCTGCTCAGCTCACTTCATTCACCAAGTCATCGACTTGTCATAAAGTTATGTCGCAGAGCACAGAGCTAGAGTATTATATGATATATATAGACATATAATAGGGCTAACCGAGGTACAGATTAGTATATAGCTTATACAGACCAGCCGCGAGCAATTACAATACGGAAAGTATAGAACGTAATTACAACCACATATTTGTACTAAATATTAACTATTTATAGCATCTTCTGCAAGATTTCTACATATTTTTTTTTTTGTAAATAGTCCATTTTTTGTCTAGAAAAATGTTAGCTTATTTTCATTACAGTTATTTTTTCGCTGTTTATCATATGAGTTGGAAAGCTTACACTCTTCATATATATATACAAACATACAAATGATAGGCCAATAAGCACTCAGATTATAAGTTAGTTACAAGTTATTTTTGCAAACAGCATTTGACTTGAGTTGATTTATAAATAGCTTGGCGCAACAACTCTTGCAAATTCATTTCTATGCAAATTTCTAGTTTCCATTTCGGTTCTCTCGAGTTTCACTTTCAATTTGCGCTTTTGGGCTTTTGTCACATTTTTAGTGGCGGTGCTTTGTCTGCCACCGTCCCATATGCATCTGTAGGTTTTGCTTGTGCCTTTTTTTCTGTATTGTTTTTCCTTTGTCTTCAGCTGAAATTGTGTTTTATATGGTAAAATGCAATTTGTGCAACTTGCAAACGCGACAAACAGCAACAAGAAATAGCATCCTTTGCTATATATTGAAAGTGAAGTCTCTTAGCATATTTGTAGTTGTTGTTATTTTTGTTGTTGCTGCTGCTTCTGTTGTTGTTTTTGTTGTTGTTATACTCTAAAAATTTGCATTTTTGTGCACAGCTGCTTTTTGTGCATTTCTTCACTTGCTGCTGCAATTGTTGTTAGTGTTTTTGTTTTTGTTGTTGTCTTCTATTGCATTAATTTTGGCTTCTTGTCGTCGTCGGCGTCGTCGTCGTCGTCGTCGTCATTGTGGCTTATATGGCTGCTCGGATGCCGTTGCCTGCTGTATCTTTGTTGTTGGGTTTTGGGCTTATATTGTGGGCTCATGTACAGCATTTGTCGTTACCAGGCACTGTTGCCACATTCTGCCATTCAGGCGCTTTGTAATTAATGGTTAATTAATTGAAACGAAGTAGCTGACAATCTTAATGATCCGTAATTTGTTATTATGGTAATTTATACAAGCAGCAGCTAAGGCAGCTAATGCCCACAACAACACCAACACAATAAAGACTTTGTTGCTGCTGCTGTTGCTAATGCTGCTCTGCTGTTGTCTTGTAATACATATACAAATAAAAATTCATTAGCTTCTGAGCCATGGCTGAGTTTGACGACAGCGACAATTGTCTAATTGCAGTCACGAGCAATTTATGTAGTGTGTTTAAACATGAGTTATATATGTACATATAGTCAATATTACTAAATGGCCAAGCAACTAAATGAATATGGTATAGGACGCCCACAGCTAGCCCTAAGAGCCAGGCCATGGCAATAAATTGCACTTGGTTAGGCTTAAGTAAAATAATGTCAGGCCAGTATAAGAAATGCTTCAACAGACTGCCGGCTGGTATCAATCTGTGCACCTTCCTGGAAGATGCGCACGACTACCAAACAACAGCAGCAGCAAACCGCAACAACAAAAACAATAGCAACAACAAAGTAAACAGCCTGTCGCAAAAAATCAGCAAAAAATTTGCATCTTGACGAATTTAATGATGATGATGAAAAAGACGCCACAAACATTTTGATCGACCCACAAGACGAGCCAGCCTCAAGGAGCCCACAGACTGCACACGATATTGCCATAGAGTCTCTGGGCATGTGGGAGTGTTGCTGCCGCTGCTGCTGCTGCTGTTGTCGTTGCTATTGCTGATGCTGTGGCTACAACGGCAACAGCATCAAATTTATGAAGATGCTTTTTGGGTGGCATTGCGGAATGTTTGACGTTGCTGTCTCAT